TGGTTTAGTGTTCTAATACATTTTGTTAGGGTGCCAGAACCTGTAGTGATCTCCCAATCCGCTCATCAACTTGACAGCCTTCTCATCTTTCCGCATTTCGAGTCCCAAAAGAAGCAATTTAAAAGCATTGAAACCAGGAACCATAGCTGCTAAAAACCCTCCTTGATTACCAGAACTGTCAAAAATCATAATAAATTAAATTAAACGCCATTTCTATTCTCAAGCAAATAAGAATGGCTTCTTTTTCCCCCCCTCTACTTTGTTAGTACGTAAATTTAAATTACCTGAACACTGGCCAGAAAAGCATGAAAACTAGCCCCATGCTAATATGCAGAAGCTTCCCGTAAGTATTCTAGAAAGGAAAATTCCAAAGAATAATGAGAAAACATATCGTCTTGACACAAAAGAAATTTCCTTTGCTCTTTTCTCTTTTTCTCAATGCAAAAGTAGTACTTTAAAATGGCCCTTTCTTTATAAACTTTTGATACATTATAAGCTTTTCATCAGTTTAAAAATCTTTAATGTTCAATGATTGAAAGTGTGGCATGGATTCTCGTTTGTGAACAAGGCTTAGATTCTTGCCATTTCAATTCCTCCTCCTTCGCAACTCTTTTCAAAAATTAAAAATAAAAAGATTGCAATGCCCTGCGTACCCGATCAAGATGCCCCCTATTGTAAATCATTGTCCAGAATGGAGTGGTATAGAGGAGAATACAATTGGGTGCTCTGTAAACATGTTGACAGCCACCATGGCTGTGCTCATATTTTCATGGAAATTCTTGGACGTCTTTGATATATTCATGAAAGTATAGCTGAATTTATAACAGACACGTACCGGGCGAAGTAAAGAGTTGGCCATATGAACAGGGAAGTTGAGGTTGAGTGGTTTGGTGGCCGCCCCATATGAGTGGAGAATTGACCGTACGCTTATCCTTTTTTATTTTTTTAGTGAAAAACCCTACAAATTAAAAGGCAATGGCTGCCTAAAAATTGTTGAGTTCCTCTCCTTTTTTTCAAAGAAAATATAGACAATGATTCAAAGAAAATATACTAGAGAGGACAGTTCAGTTGAGTGGTAAGATGAAATGAATTGTAAGTAGGAGTCAAGCTAGGACCTCCACTAAAAAATAGGTTCAAAAAAAAAATACCATTGGCTTCTAGGGATAATTTGGAAACCTTTCCTTAGAATTCTCATAATACACCTAGACCCCTGAGATTTCCAAAATCTTACCTATTTCCCTGGTTAGTTTGATAAGAGAACATGGCCCAATTAAAGGTTACAAATTGACAATAGTATACTTGCAATCTTAATTAACTAATTAACCATAAAGCCCAAATATTTTCAACCAAAATATCTAATATTATGAAAGTCAAATTGAACACTCTTATCATATTATAAAAATTAGAGATTTATCATACTTTAGAAGATGTAGATCCATATATTTTAACACTAAACCGACCAATTCCAAAAATATATATTTTAGCAAATATACTTTAAATTGTATTCAAAGCAAAATAATCTTTTGATACATGTAGTTTGCATATAGCCTACACTTATGAAAAAAGGAAAGTTATAACTCACTCAATATTAAAAAGATTAATCTACAAATAATCTCTCAGAAAAACATTTAGAAACTACCTAAACTATCGATTGGTTTATGTATCCTAGTGCCCCCGGAGCTCAACCCACCCCTCTGTTTTTCTTTTTATTTTTTTAAAAACCATGCAGGTTTTGTGTGATAGTTGAACTTTGAAGTATTATGACCCTCATCAATGGTGTGTACAATTAGTGAATTTTAATGACGAAATTTGTGGTAATTGAGCAAATTACTTTAGTTTATAAAGTTGGAGGTAAATCATTTTTATCGTCAAACATAATTTTATTTGCAGAAGAGTTATTTGATATCGCCTCATAAGATTTTCTCCAGGAGGTAGTACAATTCGCATTACCAGGCTGTAAAATCGTGACTTTCAGCAATACAAATCTAAATTCATTGGTACATTTATTTCGTCTCACAAAGATAAATTCTTGAAACAAAGAAAATTGTTTCATGGTAATTATTAAGTAGATATACAACATCCCATCAAAAAAGGTGGGAAACACTTCTATGCTTTTACCATCACAAATAACAATAATATTCGTAAAATCAAAATAGCATAAACTCATTCCAACATCTTTTGCTTTGTACTTTTATTTGGGGTGGTAAGGTGCAAAATTCCACATTTGAATAGATACGTTTTTTAATTTTTATTTGCATAAGCAAAGCAACATCCCATAAACATAAATATAAATATAAAGCACTAATATGAAATAGAAACACGATAAACGAAAAAGGGAAGTGGAAAAAACAATTGCAGGTAACAGCTTAAGTATTCTCGTGATAAAAAAAAATATCATAAAATACATGGAATAATTAGTTTTCTATTAGAAAAATCCACTATTAAAATGCCCTGGGAAGAGCAGGTATCTACAATAAATATACAAGTGATTCTCATGATATATATATATATATATATATATATATATATATATATATATATATATATATATATACACACACACACACATAGATATATAGTTAGGATATTTTTAGTCTATCATTATAGAGAAGAAGGACATATTGTTAATTAGTTTCCACAGAATAATGTCCACATGCCATAAGGGTCATTTCGTTTATGTGCTTGGTAGAGGGAAAGAGAGAAGATAGGATTCTATCATCCTGTTAGGTCAGTTGCCAAAGTCGTTGATGAAGATTGTGGAACACTAAAGAAGTTATTAAGTTATTCTATTTTTTTTAAAGGATTTATTACTGCACTTAAATCATATTCAACCTACCATGTGTATGTATTATAATCGCTAACAATTATTGTCTTATCTTGCATTTATAATTTTTTTCTATATAATTTTACTTTTTCATAATATTAATATGTGAACCCCAACATAGTAGAGCACTCCTTAGACAGATCCTATGTTATTTTCTCATTTGGTATATTCCTACATTACTTTTTCCAATTGATCATTGTTAGAATTGGGATCATGTTAATATTTATGAATATTACTTCTCAACACCAACTCCAGTATCATCCATTCTGGGTTCTTTGACTTTGATTTACAGACAGAATTTGTGTGAGCCACATAAGCCTCCAAATATCATGGATGAAGATTCTGAGCACATGAAAGAAAATGCCTGTTCAATAATTTATGAATCATTGATGAAGAATCTTGCTTCACTTTCCAATTTAGTATTTCAGCTGTAAGCACATGGTCATTAATAAATTGGCTCATGATCGCCAGTGGAAATAACTAAATCTTACTATTTTATTAAGTTATTAAGTTATTTTTTTACATAAGTTTGGGTTTGTCTATTAAGTAACCATTGTTAAAATTTACTATTTTAAAATAAATGCCACTTAGTGCTATCCACAAACTTCCAACATGATAACTGCTACTATTAAATTTTAATTTGGACCATATCTTTAACAAGATATTCATGCATTGTTATTCCCACCATCATAGTCTTGCTTTAATTAAATAGAACTTTTAGTACAATGACATTTTAACATTACCTAATTTGACACAGTTGACGCTTAATCTAATAAAACAAAGATTAGTGTCACTTAATGTCGTTGGTATTAGTTATGCAGGATTATCGGAAAATCTTCTTAAATTGTATGTATTGGCTATTGGTTTGTAACGAAATTAAAAATATTTTTGCAAAATAAGGTTAAATTTGAAAAATAAAAATCTTCCCGTTTTATATGTGTTAGTAAAAAAAATAAAATAAAATATGTGTTTTTTTTTTTGTTGGTTTGTAAAATTCAACGAACAAAAATAAAAAAAAAATGTTTGTTAATGACATTTGTGTTTTATAGAAAAAATTGGTTTATGAACATGAATCTTCTTTTCTGAAACACTAAAACTGTTGTATTCAATTGTTCAAACAACACTTATTAAACCGTGTTAAGGCTATCATTTGGACTCAGCTAGCTGGGCTTTGGTAAGTTTAACCCCAAAACAAGAACACAAAATCATTTTCAGGCCAAAATTGGTCCTATCCAAAACTCTTATTTGCACAGGCTCATGTCTACCCATATATCAAAATGGGCATCAGGCTGGGATTAGATAACCTTGAATTTTTTTTTTTTGGGTAAAATCATAGATATTTATATTTCTAAAATGTTTATATTTACCAATCAAACAAAAAATTATAAGCTAAAATAGTTATTATATGTATTCATTTTTAAATATATATTATACAACTAAAAGATTATTGTTTCAAGATAATTATTATTAACAAACACACTATTATTTCACAAAATTTGAGTACTTTGGATTTGGAATACAGAAAAGCATTAAACATATACATTATTTGAATTTGATATTATCATTTCGGTTGGGCCTACTTTAGGTTGACTCTGACTTGCCCAGGTCCTAGCAATTCTCAATTGTGCCCCATTAGTCATTTATTTCTGATTTCACAGAACAAATGGTGTGTTTTTTTGGTCTCAAATGGTGTGGTTCAACCAAATGTTTTCCAAACTAATCATTAATATGTTTTCGACATTTTGGAGGTCACCTATGGGTGCAAAACTGAGACACTACCATCTCGAATTAGGCCAAAATTTCCTCATTGGTGAGATCGCATTAATTGCAATCTCCCAGACGACCTTGGCGGGGTCATGATAATGCAAATGAGAGTAATAGAAAATTAAAAAAAAAAGTAAATAGAAGAATGGGTATAATGGCAAGAAAATGATAAAAAAAAAAGGGATCTAAAATAAGAAAAATGCATGAAAATATCATGAACATAGGTGATGGATGAAACTTGCGCAAAAAGTGCCTAATTGACTAGCGTTGGATTTTTCTCTTCTAAACTACGTTGCTAGCGTTGGACTAGCAAGAAAAAACAAGAAGTGTCCACAACTAGCGTTTATCTAATCTTGGAGGCACATGACATGCATCTTTGCATTGGACAAGAGCATTAGACGAGAATGAGAGATGGTAAAACAAAATTCCAAAAGTTGTTTTAGCAAACAATTGAAACTTTGGTTTGACATAGAATTCACAGCTGTAGAAAGAGGACTAATCCTCAGATTACATCTTGAGATGCAAAACAAAACAGAAAAACACCTACTGAATACTCGAAGCTTAAATACACGAAAACACAACAAAACTACTATTGCTTCTCGAGGCACTCTGGACAACAACAGCAGCCTACCAAATTGAAAGATAACAGAGTACCAACGTTAATAAATTTTCTCTAGAGAAGTGCCAATTTCAAAAAAAAAAAATTAAAGTTCAAGATTTATAACAGTCTAGTCTGAAATACACAAATTGTCAAATCTTTACTCCTTGCAGTGGTGGAGGAGGTAGAAAACTAATCTAGTATGGAACTGTTCTAAAGCATATAAAACTATTGATGGACATTAGATCAATGAGCTATTATCTTTGTAATCAGGTGTAAATCAAAAAATTCAATAAAATTCATAACATGGAATTTAATGAAACATAGGAAACAAAATGTAAATATGAATAATAGAAGAGAATTATTAGAATTCAAAATTTTGAGACAGTTGAAACAATTGCCAATAGAAAGGTAGAACCTAGATAAAGCACAAAAAGTTTTGTTATCAAGTTTTTTGGGATCGAAAATTTCAAAAGTTAAGGAAATGAAAATTTTGGTCTACAATCATGTAATAGGTTATTGGGGAAAAAAAATTTCTTTGAAAGCTACCAATTTGATGTTAGAATCTTGTTGTTAAGCTATTCGGTATCAGGCATCTACTACTTTATACTCCTATCTATTTAAATTGGTATGTTATTCTTTTGTTGATATAACTTATTAAGATTCTTTGTTTGCAAAAAAAAACTTATGGAGCTATAATTTTCTTGTATTGGACAAACGTATAAAATAAATCCTTAGAAATATTGGGAAAAAACAAATTACAAATTATGAATGTTAAGTTCTAATTAGTTCTCTACGATCAGCATATAAAAGCAAAAATGTGAAATTTTCAAAGAGCAAATTATCAAAGATAGTATGCTACGGATATTGTGGCTCCGTAGTGTGTGATATGAAAAACAGAGTATAAGTGCTTTTATAGGAACTTACTCAACGGAACTTCCTCCTCAGGCGAGTAGTCTTTACCCAGATTTTGTCACAGGCACTTTCTATAAACTTGAAGTATGCATAGCGCCATGACTTCTTGAAGAGAAGGATTCCCAGAACTCCCAAGAGCCCGACAGCAAAACCTGGTCCTATTCCAGCATAAAACCAAGACCAATCAGATTCGCTGTGGCCTTCATCCTCATCAGTAGGCCCATTTTTGGTAGGCAATTTGTGTTCCGAGCAGTTGTTTGGGAGCGGTTTGCCGCAGAGTCCACTGTTTCCTTCATAGATGGATGGATCGGTCAAGGTTTGAAGCTGATTTCCTGATGGTATTGGCCCTGAAAGTTTATTGTGTGACAGATTCAGAGAGTTCAATGAGTACAAATCAGATAAGCTTTCAGGGATTGCACCAAAGAGTTCATTCATTGATAGATCGAGTGTTTCAATTTGCTTCAAGTTGCCAATCTTCTTGGGGATCTTTCCAGTCAAATGATTTTGTGAAAGATTCAAAACTTGCAATTGAACCAGTTCCATTATCCCATCAGGGATCTCGCCAACTAAATTATTTGCTGAGAGGCTTACGGATTTAACAAGCAAAAGGTTCAATGCGTAATACTCAACTTCTCTTCCTCCCTTAATGTCTTCAAGCCTTTCTGGTCCATAAATGACGCCATCTCCATGTAGCCCTGATACCATGGCAGTAATGTTGTTAAAGCAGTGAGGAATAAATCCACTCAAGTTATTATGTCCTAAGTTTAGCACTCGAAGACGTGAGAGTTGGCAGAGTGTATGGGAAATAGGTCCGTGGAAGTTATTTGACTGAAATCTTAGAAACCTTAAATTTGATAACCTTTCCCCAATCCAAGTTGGTATAATATCCTTCAGTCCATTGTCTCCGAGATCAAGAGCTTCCAAATATCTCAGATGCTGCATTGAGGCAGGGAGCTTTCCAACCAATTTGTTTCCATTCAAATGCAGAGTAGAAAGTTGCCACAAGTTACCCAGTGAACTCGGAATTTGACCGGATAGACTGTTATTTGCCAAGCTTAGGATTTCCAGGTCTCGCAAGTTTCCTAGACACAGAGGAACTCTTCCGGACAGAAGATTGTTGGATAGATCCAGAATATATAAATATTCCCACTTGCACAAGTTTTTAGGGATAGTACCTGTGAAACGGTTATCATTTAGTAAGAGAGACCTCATCCCAGGTACAACCGTTTGACCAACTTCAAGCTGCGGAATATGTCCAGTAAGAAAATTGTGTGAAAGATCTAAATCTGAAATATCCAACGGCAACGATTTGAGAGATCCATCAAATTTGTTGGAGCTTAGAAATATACGTCGAGAACGATAACGACTTGGTCTATGCTGTTTGAACTCCAAAGGATTTCCAGTTAGGCTGTTGCTGGAGAGATCTACTGACGTAATATTACGACAAAGCACTCGAAACCAGCTGGGTATGGCATCTGAAATGCTCGCGTTCCGCATGTCTAACTCCTCAACCTCCTTCTGCGTCCGAAGCCAAGCTGGAAACCTGGGTCCCACAATGATGAATCCCATCCGAATTTCATGGAGTTGAAAAGGAGGAACCCACGAGGAGCTCACGTTCAGAGCGAGCGAGTTTCCGGTTAGCCTCAGTGACTTTAGCTCTCGGAGTTTCGCAAAATGGTCTTCAGATAGGACACCAGTTAATGAATTGTAACCAACGTCAAGTGCTTGTAGCTTCGTCAGCTGCCAAAGATTGGTCGGTATGGTACCATTTAATTTGTTAAAGGCCAATACTAGGTTTGTTAGTTTTGGAAGCTGACCTATTTCACTTGGTATTGACCCTTGCAAATCATTACTACTCAGATCCAAATAAGTAAGATTTACAAGTTGACCTATTTCACTTGGTATTGACCCTTGCACATTATTATCACTCAGATCCAAATAAGTAAGATCTCTTGCTTTACAAAGTGATTTCAACGTTGAAGCATCAAAGCGGTTTGAAGATAGATCTAGATGAACTAGAGAGGTCTTTTGGTCAAACAGGGCATGAATTGGATCAGAAAGATTATTTTGACCAAGACGAAGATCATGGAGGCCAGTAAGATTACGGAGCCACGGAGGGACCGTGTAGTTGTTGAAATTATTTTCACCGAGATCAAGGAAAGCAAGAGACGTGAAATTGACCTGCGAAAGATGAGGATGGATGAAGAGATCACAGCTATCCAATTCTAGTGTTGTTAGTGAAGGAAGCATGTTAATTGACCGTAACCCATCTTGAGCGGTTGTAAGGTTCACCATGGACAGGACTAGGCCTTCTAGAGAAGAGAGCCCAACAACCCATCCGAGATCCTTAGTACTCAATGAGAAACCTGAATCCCCAAGATCTAAATACCGTAAATGTGAGAGGTTTCCTAAATGGTGGGGAATTTCACCATCAAATCCTGCACTTGAGAGATTGAGGTATCTCAAGTTTTTCAACAATCCAAGGAATGCGGGAACTTGGATTCCTGAAAAACTATTTGAGCTCAGGTCCAAGTACCGCAAATTGGTCAAATTGACCAAAGATGGAGTTAATTGGCCTCCCAAGCAATTTGTGCAGTGATAATCCTCATCAGAATAGAGTGGCACCGTATTGCGAAGATCAAGTTTCAAAATACTGCCAGTGATTTTGTGGCAACCAACTCCTTCCCATGAACAACAAGCTTCTCCAATCCAAGATGACAGACGATTTGATTCATCTTTCAACTCATGTTTGAGTTGAAGAAGGGCATATCGTTCACTTTCAATACAGGTGACATTTGAATGATGATAAGCTTGTTTGCTGCTACCAAATGGGAATTGGCTAGTGATAGGAACAGAACTGAATAAGAAGAGTAGTAGTAAAGATGAAGAAGTACAAAGAAGAAGATGCTCCATTGGATTTCTTTGGTACTGTTGGTTTATTTGATATGGGAAGTTCAGATGGCCAGGTGGCCTTATTTATACACTTACAAAAAGCATCACTTCAATGTTTTGTGTTTGTAGGAAGTAGGATAGAACCATACAAAGGTGATAAAGGACGACGACTTGAAGTCTTCGTGGAAAAAAATTTATAAACGTGGTGGAGGGGAAGGACGGTGTGGAAAGTCCTTGCGTGCTTGTGGGGAAAATCCTTGGTGACATACAAATGGAAATATTAATTCATTTTATATTTGGATTTTAATTTAATTCGGATACCTTCGTTACCACAAAAAATTCGATCCTAACCTATGTTTTGTTATTCATATGAACTAGTGATCGGAGCACACTATATGTATGCGTAAATAATTCAAGTCATATTTAATTGTAAAAATTAGTTTTCTGGAATTTAGTTTTACATTTTGAGAATAAATGTTTTTTGAACTTTTGTGTGAAAAACAACAATATACATTAGCAGTTATTTTTGTTAGTTATCATTAATTGTAAGCATTAGCAATACAACTAAAAATTCCACATAAAATGAAAAAAAGTAAATTTTTCGAGAATTTCAAATGCACATTTAAAATTATAAGAAGCAAAGAATACCTAAATAAACAACTTTCAAGATCATGGAAATTGGGCAGCATATAAAGTTCCAAGTTGGGTAGAAAAAATTGGCGGATGTGCAGGGTCTAAGTCCACTCGTCAATGGAAGTCGTGACCCACCGTGGAAAATTTTTATTTTCTTGTGGACAAAATCCTTAGAGACATATTTTGTACTGACTTGATGGAAAATTTGATTCTCTATCAGTTGGTTGTGGAATTGATTTTCTGATTTATGACCCTCACGTTTGCAATCTAAATTAATTTAAAAATGTTTGACTTAAAATCACCAAAGCTATTGAAAATTTGTCACACATCCTAAATTTGATAGGTTTACAGTAAAGAAGCAAGTAAATAAGGTTTCCATGAGATGAGAGCAACAATATCTAAAGCACGAAGGACAGTAGTCCGCATCTCATGTTGGATAGTTAACAAAAAAAAAGGTGCATATTTATCAAAAAGTTTTGTATAGATTTTGAATTTTTCTTTTAATGTAATTGTTCATTATCAAAATTTGATCTTTCAAAAGTTTATATTGTTGAATATGAGGTTTGAGCATTCAAAAAGCATTTATACGTAAAGTGAATTATATATAGTGCGACAAACACCTTAATTGGATGACCTCTATTAGTTTCTCTTGAAGGACATGTAAGTATAGAACTCCTTTTTTTTTTTTTTGGTCTTCTTTGAGCTAATCTATATTTCTTTCTCTGAGGAAGACATTCTTTGACATTAATGTGGCATTATAAAAGTTTTTCATAAGTAAAACATTTTAGTGGCTTTTAAATTATAAAGAAGATGAAACTCAAAAAAAAAAAAAAAAAAAAAAAGAATACCTCAACAAACTAGAATGCAAATATCAAACCAAGAAAAACAAAGAAAAATTCCTAAATGCATGGCCTCCAAGATCAAGACGTCCACATATAGCGTTTCAAAGGGGTTAGAATAATAGGTTTGGTGATCCAACACTTTCACTTATTGTAGGGGCCTCAACCAAATTATATGATCCGTTCATGTCGGCAATTATATGGGTCATTTTAGAAGGAAAACAACTCCTAGCATCGAGCCACCCTATTGGGCAATGACGTTAAATTCAAAATTCTATCCAAAAAGTCAATCCATGTCTGGTTGACTGGAAAAATTCCCAATGACGTGTCAATTGTATACATGCAGTTAGGGAAAAGTCTTCAATTGGGTGAAGATTCTCTGCAATTGCATAATGCAATTCATCTAATTCATGGAAGTTAACCACAAGACTTTGAAAAGTTTACGAGTATAAATGGACACCATTTTGATGGACACATAATTAGCTTCAAAAATTGACCTAAGCTGATGATATCTTGTCATCCAATCTGCATATCAAATTTATTTGTGGTGAAAATTAAACAAAGAAAAAGCCAGTAAAACCAACATGTTTAGTGGGGATTTAATACTTTTTTTTCTTTTTTTTTCGAAACGTTAGCTTTTTAATGGGGATTTAATTCGATCAACTAAAACTTGGCCTTTATATGCCACATAGATAAGCCATCAAGAGTTGATCTTCAGTAGCATAATCATATTACAAGGTGATCAGTAGACTGATTGATATTACATTTAAGGGGAGTTCTACAGTTCCCTTTAAGGTAAAGTACCAATGAAATTAAATTCACCGTTGGATATAAGATAAGAGTTATTAACACTTATCTTATTTCAAGAGTTTAAATCACTAAACGATGTGGTAAGATATAACTCAATTAGAATCACAGGTATTGTACCGAAAAGGGACCATACTTTTTTTTTGAAAGAAATCTTTTTCATACTTAACCAAAGCAAATTATACATCTTTTCCCACATTATTGAAGGCATACTATACACAAAGAAAAGTCGTGGAGTCACCATAATAATTAATGAGTGGCTAATATGATGCAACATATAGGTTTTAACCTGCTATCACAGGTTTCACTAGGGGCAAAATTGTAATAGCAAAATTTGGTATGAATATTAGTAAGTTTTTGCGGTTTGTTGAAAAAAAATAGTAAGTTTTTGCACAAAACAAATAAATTTTATTATTTATTGTAACTTGCTATTTAAATATCAAATCTTACTAGATTTTTTTAGCAAAAATTACCATTTTTTCCCCAAAACTTGGCATTTTTTTTTATATAAACATACTATTTTTCAAGAAAAACTTATGACTTCATTAATAAATCTTGCCACTTTTTTAGCAAAATTTACTATATCATTAACAAGACCTTTCTATTGTTCAAACGAAACTTCCTATTTTTTGTGCAAAACTTCCTACTTTTTCGAACAAAATTTATGACTTTGTTTATAAATTTTAACATTTTTTCAAGTACAGTATACAAGTAAAGATCTAAATAATGATAAGATTGGTTACTGCTGCCAAATGGGAATTGGCTGGAGACTTGAATAAAGCTGAACAAGAATAGTAGCAGTAAAGATGAAGAAATACCAAGAAGATGCCCCATTGGACGTTTTTGGGTACTGATATTTGAGTAGTTGATCTATACTGGTTGACGAGCATCAATTACGGTTCTAAATGCTAGCAGGAATTGCTGATAAAAATGACTACCTAAAAGTCTTCATGCAAAGTTGACCACTCAATTAATGGTTGGTTGTATTAGTCAGTCTCTAACAATCAATCAACCATAAATTGATGACTACGAAAATCCAATCAATCTACCTTTTGTTTAATACTCCATCTATGAAGGAGTATATTGAATACTAAGTTAAGGATTAACCTTGCATAAATTGACAATTTATATACTAACTAATAATTATTGATGCATACTATATAATTTGATTCGAATCTGAACTTCAATTCTTGTGTACGTGGTATGTATTCATACCTATTAATGTATAAATTGTTAGTGTATATAAAATTACTTATAAAAAAAAAAAAACAATCAGTACATTTTTGTTAAGCAAAATGATCTCTAGATTGTTCTTCATAGAGATTAAAGATAATAAGTTTTCTTTGGTTCATAAGAACACTTCAGAATAATTGTGTGCATCTGTATTTCTTTCTCTGGTGATGAAAGCATTCTTCAACACATTCAACGAGACTTCATCACCCGTTTCATAAGCTGTTTAGAAAACTAGCCAAGGTACGTGCAGGGTCCACTCGTGAATGGAAGTCCCGATACGCTGTGGAAAATCTGTATGTTCTTGTGGAAAAAACAATCCTTGGAGGCATATTCTACATTCAAGTAGTGGGAATGCTCATTCCCTATCAGTTGACTACTAGCGGAAATGCTCATTCCCTATTAGTGGAAATACATTCAATTAGGGAACAATCTTCAGAATCTTGATAATGCATATTTAGCGTTTCAAAGGGGTTAGATAGTAAGAATGAAAATAATACTGAGGGAAGAATTGGCTATCCTTTGCGTCCTTGACGTGTCTGGCTGTGAGTCCTGACTCAGCATCGGAAATCCTTACATCGGACACATGCTTATTAAACAAAGATTTGGCTTTTCCAAGAGTCTCCCACTACTTAAGTGATTGTGCTAATCAATTTGAATCTCAGCTATAGGGTCAGCTAGAAACATTTCTAAGGGGATGGCTCAGGTAGTTCAAGATTGAGAAGTTTTTTCTTTGATTTTTGTTTTGGAGATTGAAATGTAGAGAACTATCAAAAGTATGACAGCATGAGCGAGTGGATTGTTCTATTCTCACATTGGGTTGAGGAATTGGAAAGACTCATTGCTGGGCAGCAATGATCAATAACTTTGAATGCATTGTTGATTTACATAAATTTTTTGTTATTGTTCTAGATCTCTTATTTCGAGTGTACGATAATTACCTGTTAATATTCATCTTGAGTTATTTTCATTATACTCGATCTGCAGAAGAAACTTGAGAAAGTAGATCATTTCGAAAGTTGTTCTTGAGTTAGTTATATACGGTTCAATGGGGCCTTATGCTCAGCATTTGAGCACTTAGATTTTTATAGTATTAAGATTATGGGCATCTTTTGTTTCTGCGTTATGAAAATAAAAACAAGACAATTTTGATTGGCATTGACAATTTCGATTAAAGATTAGGAATTAAATTAATAAATTCTAGCTACTAACACATGAATTGATCATACCTAATGAATTGTGAAATTAAAGATGTCAATTCAAGATTGATTTTCTGTATTGCCACTAATTTACTTAGACAAATGCATAATCCAAAATATAAACACCTACTTCTTACACCTCTAAGAAAACCAAACCAACAACGGCTCAACACCTCGTAAGGAATTTACTCACTGAACTTAGTCGCAAAGCCAACAACTAAATCATAACAGGTACCTTATTATCATTAAATGAAGCCAAGTATATACAGTTTAACTATTCTTCATAACTTTTTCAGGCAGACTATTATACTTACATTTTATTTACATATAATTAATAGCATATAAAAGGAGGTCTAATCCTCAGCTTACATCAG